CTTTTGTTGCTGCTGCTGTGCTCATTGAGGGCCCCGCCAACCCTTCTGCAGCTACACCGGGTGTATAGACACTCTATTTGCATTAAGACCAGCTAGCGGCTAGCTAGCTAGCTAAATAGCTAGCTAGGTAGCTACCTAGCTAAACAGCTAGCCGTTTAGCTAACTATCTGTCTAGGTTTAGCTAGCTAGCTAGCTAGCTAGCTAAATAGCTAGAACTATCTAGCTAGACTCGTTGATATTACTGTGCTTTAAGTGTAGAGAGACTGCGCACTCTGCAGCAAATGCTGCGGTGTACGTTCACCTCCTCTGATCGACAAAGATAAAAAGAATAAAAAATAGAATAAGAAGAAAGCAGACAAAATAATAAAGTGCGGGCCTAAAGGAGACAGGGCACTAAAAAACAAACAAAACCCCCAAAATGCAAACCAAGTCAGAAGCAGCAAACAGTCCTGCTGCTGCTGCTGCTGCTGCTGCTGCTGCTGCTGCTGTTGCTCTTGGTGGTGCTGGTGAAGCTACTGCGCTACAGCAAGAGCAGCGCCATCCCTGGTCTTGCTGCTGCTGCTGCTGCTGCTGCTGCTGCTGCTGCTGCTTGTGTTGCTACTGCTGCTGCTGCTGCTGGTGTGTTTTGCTGCTGCGCATAGAGCAGCAAATGTTTATTTTGTTTATTTATATACTTTGATTGGTTTCGGTAGGAAGGGCCTGGAGTCTGTGTATAATATCGGTGAAGTAATTAATACACCGCTCTGTTTGTTGTTTATTGCTTGCAGCAGCTCTTAACATGCTTTGTAGTCTCTCTATTTCTTCTTTAGCTTCTGCTGCAGCTTCTGGTGTGCCTTGTAGCTGCAGCAGCAGCAACTGTCTCTCTACAGCAGCAAGACCCCCCTGTAGAGCTTGTTCAGCTTTATCTAGCTGTTTATAATGTATATTACATGCATCTCTGAGGTGTGTAGCAGTAAGCATCTCTCTTTTAACAAGATTATTATAATTATTACTATCTTTATTATTATTATCTTTATTATCTTTATTATTATTATAGGTGTCTCCAAAGCGCAGCAAACGGAGACACTTATACACCGTAGCATCCACACCCCCCACCGCCCCAAACAGAGACAGCACAAAGCTGCCTCTGCCGAATGCACGTAAATTAAAAATCTGCTGACCGCAAATTATCCCTTCTTCGCCTTCTTCATTTATACCCTGACAAACAAACAAACAAACAACAAAGACAAACATAGCCTTCATAATATATATATATATATATGTATGTATATGTATATATGTATATGTATATGTATAATATATATATAATCTGCCTTCCTGTATATATAAATATGTATATAAAATATATACACATCATTATATATATATATACATAATCAGACACATAAACAACAAATAGTAATAAAACATATCGCAGCATCTGCTGCTACTGCTGTTAATACACCCCAGCAACAGACGCAGCAGCAGCAACAGCAGCAGCAGCGCATGCAGCATCAACAGCAGCAACTCCCGCCAAACAACAAAAGCAACAACCTCAGCATCACCACCAGCATCAGCAGCAACAGCAGCAGCAACAGCAACAGCAGCAGCAGCAGCAGCAGCAGCATCAACAACAACAGGAGCAGCAGCTAACCGTTGCAGCAACAACTCGATCAGCAACAGGCTCTTCGGAATCTAAATTAGAGACTTCACAAGGGGGGCCCCCCAAAGGGGGATGGCAGGGGCCCCCCTTAGGGGCCCATGCAGTCTTTTGTAGCCAGTCAGGAAGAAGAGATGAAGAGACAGTTGAACGAATTATAGAAATAGAAGTAAAACCTAAAAGGAGACAGATAAGGAGACACATAAATACAATAATAGAGATAAGGTCGGATAGGAAGGAGACAGACAAAAAGAAGGAGACAGATAAATATAAAGAGACAATGACAAGAAAATATAAAGCGACAAAAAAACAAAGAGAGAGACAGAGAGAGACAGAAAGACAAAAGGAGACACCGAGAGAAGACAGAAAGAGACAAAGAGACAGTGAAAAGGAGACAGAAAGACAGGAGGAGACAGCAAGACAAAAGGAGACAGAAAAAAGAGACAGCGAGATAGGTGAAGACAGACCAAGAGAAGGAGACAAAAGTAGAGGAGAGGCACCAAGAGGCGAGAAGACAAAAAAAAGAAAAGGAGACAGCAAAAGATAGGGAGACAGAAGGAGACAGGGAGACAGAAAGAGACAGTTAAACAAAAGTAGAGAAGGAGACAAAGAAGTGCGCGGCAGCTGAGCAGGGGCGCTAATAAAGAAAAGGAGATAGCAACAGGAGACAGACAGCAGCAAGAGACAGCGGCAGAGACAGCATCAGAGACAGCATCAGAGACAGCATCAGAGACAGCAGCAGAGACAGCAGCAGGGTACCATTGGGTAGAGCAGCATGCGGTGTATCTCCAGCTTCTTTTCTGTAGAAGAAGGCTGGGCCCCAGGGGTTGTCTTTTGTCTCTACGCCGAAGTGAAAGAGCAGATATGCGTTGTTGTACTGCCCATAGTTAATAAACAGCTGCATGCAAACAATAACAATAAACAAAACGGCAAAATGTCTCCTTCAATCAAAGCCTTTAGGGCTGCGCTGCCGTCTCTACATCGCTTGCTATCTCTGTATCTGTCTCTAGCTGCCTCTGCCTCTCTCTCTGTCTCTCTCTGTCTCTGTCTCTCTGTCTGTCTGTCTCTGTCTCTGTCTCTTTGTGTCTCTGTCTGTCTCTTCCTCTGTCCTTCTTTGTTTCTCTGTCTCTCTGTCTCTGTCTCCGTCTCTCTGTCTCTCTCCCGCCGTCTCTGTCTGTCTCTGTCTCTGTCTCTGTCTCTGTCTCTGTCACTCTGTGCTGCTCTCCTTGCGCTTCTGTTTGCCTCCTCTAGCCTCAAGGGCTTAGGGTTTAGGGTTTAGGGTTTAGGGGCTGCACCTTGTCTCCTTTTCGGGTGTCTCGATGGGCCCTCCATATGAGGCCCTCAGCAGATGTCTCGTGCTCGTGCTGCGTCGCCAGGTCTGCATTCCTGCAGCAGCAGCAGCAACAGCAGCAGCAGCAGCAGCAACAGCAGCAGCAGGCACAGGGAGGAACGAGCATCACCAATCTGCGCAGCTTCAATAGCTGCTTCATCACGCAACAGCAGCAGCAACAACAACAGCAGCAGCAGCAACAACAGCAGCAGCAGCAACAACAGCAGCAACAACAGCAGCAGCAGCAACAACAGCAGCAACAACAGCAGCAGCAGCAGCAACAGCAACAACCGGAACGGAAGCCACAGCAGCAGCAGCAGCAACACCAATACCAACAACAACAACAGCAGCAGCATCAGCAGCAACGGCAGCACCAACACCAACACCAACAGCAGCAGCAGCAGCAACAGCAGCAGCAGCAGCAGCAACAGCAGCAGCAGCAGCAGGAGACACACCAGTGATACTCCTGGAGTTCATCGAGTGCGGAGACAGCAACGCGGCCCTCTCCGTCCCAAACACTGCGCGCATGCACTAAGGAGACAGCTTTTTTAATATCTTCTTTAGTAGAGTCGGCGAGCTCTGCTGCTAGAGGCCCCCTTGCTAGCTGCAGCAGCTGCTGCTCCAGCAGCAGCTGCTGCTCACCTTGCTGCGGCAGCAGCAGAGGTAATGCCTGCCATAGAAAAGGCCCAAAGTACGGGGCATTCTTTTTATTTGTTCGAAGGAGACAGCTAGATGAGAAGGCTGCTGCTGCTGCTGGGTTTTGCTGCTGCAGCCGCCGCAGCAGCAGCAACTCCTTCAAAAGCAGCACCGCAAGCAGCTCCTCCGGGGTGCACGGAACCAGCTGCTGCTGCTGCTGCTGCTGCTGCTGCTGCGGCTGTGTCCTGCTGCTGCGCTGCTGCAGCATACATTTTTCTTTATATAAAGGAGGGGCGTCTGCTGTAGAGAGCAGCAGATGCCTGGGCAGCAGCAGCAGCGGCTCTCCTTCGGGTGTATCTGCAGCAACAACTCCTGCTGCTAATGTGTCCCCGATGCAGCGGGGCCTCCTCTGCAGCCACAGAGAGAGTGGGTTTAATGAAGAAGAGACATCTGAGCTGCTAGAAGAGACATTCTGCTGCACCACGCCAAGCACTAACCCCTCAAATGCAGCAGCAGCAGCAGGAACCCAGCTGCCTTCAGCCCCTATTTGCTTCTGCAGCGGCACCCCCGGTATGGGGGCCCCAGGAGGCAGCTCATCTGCTGCTGCTGCTGCTGCTGCTGCTGCTGCTGTTTGTGCAGTTGCAGAAGCGTTGGATTCATCCTCTGTTTCATTTAGTGGCGCGCTGCCGTCGTGCTGCTGCTGCTGCTGCTGCTGCAGCTGTTGCTGTTGCTGCTGCAGCAGCTGCTGCATCTGCTGCAGCAGCTGTTGGGGCCCTGGGTATGTATGACGAAGCGAAGACGTGTCTCTGTAGAAGAATAGAGCAGCAGCGAAAGCAGCAGCAAACAGAAGCAGCAGCAGCAGCAGAGCAGCAATATAGCTGCTACGCATGCTCTTCTTTGCTGCTCTCATATAAGCAGCAAACGCTGTGGGGCCCCCAGGGTAGGTTAGTGCTACGTGCTGCTCGGGGTCACTTGAGTCCGGAAAAACAAAAGCAGCAGCAGCAGCAGCAGCATCAGCAGCAGCAGCAGAGAGAGGGGGGCCCTTTTCTTGTTTATCTTCAGTTTTGTCTTTAGCTGAAACCCTTAAAGACGAGCTGCTGCGAAGAGAACGTGTTGCTGCTGTTGCTGCAGCAGAAGCCGCAGCAGCTGCTGCTGCTGCAGCTGCTGCTGTGGAATTCATGCTGCTGCTGCTCTGTCGAATTAAAGCAGCAGCACCGGACCTCCGACGGGTCAGAACCGATGATGTTGTTGCTGCTCTGCTGTTGCTGTTCTGCTGCTGCTGCTGTTGCTGCAGCTGCTGCTGCTTGTTAAAGTCCTGGGCATTGCTTGAGGAACCCGCTCTGCTAAGGCGGGTGGAGGGGCCCCCCATGGACGCCATAGCAGCAGCAGCAGCAG